GAAGAATGCCGTGCTGGCAGTGAATTGTGTGTAAATTGAACACATATTGCACATTGCTCTCCCGCCTGCGGGGGACAGACTAGGCTCCCGTCCCTGTGCCCTGAGCTGGCCTCTGTGCCTCTCCAGTGCACTGGCCACATGTGCTTTTCCTCTGTGGCCTCTCCTGGTGTCTGTCCCTGTGGCTGAGGGTGCAGCTCCTTGTAGCCCGAGACCAGGTGGGCCCCTGTGCACTTCCAGGGCCCAGAGCCAGACAAGCCTGCTGGCTTCCCACCTGCTCTGGAACCTCCACGTGGGTCCAACCTTGGTTCTTTCCTTCAAGCTACAGGAATGCTGCAGTGGACAAATTGAGGCTGGGGGTCAAAACAGCCCTGAGCAGGTGCCCAGCACATGAGTTGCACCCAGCCCCAGGCAGAACTCCGCCAGGAGCCAGGCTACGTGGCCACAGGAAGGAGAGTCGCCATCCATGTCAGGGGCTGGGAAGGAGTCCAGAGCAGCGCCCAGTGCTCAGGGCTTGTGCCCAGCGAGGGTCAGCCATGTGCCTGGCTGGTAGCTGGGCCAACTTAATGTCCACATGGTGATGCTGCCATGGAAACCATGTGTGTAGCTGTGGAAAACATTATTTTCCCTGATGAATCATACTCTAAGTTGGGAAAACTCACTCCCTAGTTGGACAGAGAAAAGAAGTCAGAAAGGACTGAGTTGGCCAGATGCTGGCAGGTCTAGGGCTTCGAGGGCGGCTTTCCTCCCCCATGCCCCAGGAGGGAGCCAGACATCCGGAAACACTCCCAGTCAGCCTACAGAGCAGGCTCTGCAGCCCCGCCCTGCACCCTGCACCCTCTGGGCTCAGTGCCTGCCCCTGCATAAGCCACAGACAGTCTCTGTGCTGTCCCTGCAGGCTTGTTGCCTTCTTGTGGAAAGAGATGCTTCTGAGATGGAAAATCCCCTCCCCCGCCCCCCACCATGGTCTTGCCATGAGGGTGGAGGACAGACTCGCAGTCTAGAGCAAATTCCAGGCTTGTCCACTATCAGAGCAGGAAGGGGCCCTGGGGGCTCTCAGAGACTGCTCAGGAGTCTGGGAGGGTCAGTGCCATCTGGGCCCTGCATATGGCAGTATCCTGCGTGTGCAGGGCCCAGGTGGGCTCCTGAGGTCCGCCCACAGCCAGTCCTGACACCTGGATGCCGTCCTCTGGGTTCTGTCGACACTAGCTGTGAGCAGCCTCCAAGCTTCCTTGTCTAGCAAATTCTAGAGCCTGTGGGCAACGGTCCACCCATATCCAAGGTATCCTGAGAGGGCAAGGAGATAACTGCTCAGAGTTCAGGGTAAGAGATGCTTCTGAGATGGAAAATCCCCTCCCCCGCCCCCACCATGGTCTTGCCATGAGGGTGGAGGACAGACTCGCAGTCTAGAGCAAATTCCAGGCTTGTCCACTATCAGAGCAGGAAGGGGCCCTGGGGGCTCTCAGAGACTGCTCAGGAGTCTGGGAGGGTCAGTGCCATCTGGGCCCTGCATATGGCAGTATCCTGCGTGTGCAGGGCCCAGGTGGGCTCCTGAGGTCCGCCCACAGCCAGTCCTGACACCTGGATGCCGTCCTCTGGGTTCTGTCGACACTAGCTGTGAGCAGCCTCCAAGCTTCCTTGTCTAGCAAATTCTAGAGCCTGTGGGCAACGGTCCACCCATATCCAAGGTATCCTGAGAGGGCAAGGAGATAACTGCTCAGAGTTCAGGGTCAGATGCCCAAGCCTTTCTCCAGGGTCACCACATGACTATGGGCCAACTAGCCCACCTTCGTCTCCTCACCTGGACAATTAGCATCAACCCAATACACGCAGGCCGGAGCCCTTTGTGCCAACAGGTGTTTGCAACTGTAAATGCAGGTAAAACTGGAAACTCCTGACCACACGCCCAGAACCAGTGAGTAAGGACTTTCTTCCCAAGGGGTCTCCTTTGGGGCCCTTTTCTGGCCCTCCCAAACCTAGCACTTTAAAGCAGAGAAGGTTCACTGCAGGGTGAAGGGTTCTTGGTGAAGGGCAGAGAATGCAGAGCGTGGCCAGATAGGGACTCCAGGGCACTGGCTATGTGCCCGCGTGGTTGGCAGCCTGGGCACAGCCCCCAGATCCTTAGTGCGGCGTGTAGTGTCATGTGAGCGCACCCTGCTGTGCTCCTTCCCTCCTGTGCACAGGGCACACAGCCCAGGGGACAAGCAGGAACCCAGGGACTAAGCACGTGGACAGGACAGGGAAGACCCCAGGAGTCCCCACGCATTTGCAGAGTGGGTCTGCTCTAAGCCCGTGTGACCTGGCAGGTGTCCCCACTGCCCCGGGACTGAGCCCAGAACTGTGGCACTTCACTCACTGTGACATCTCTCGTCACCTGGAGACATGGGAGCCCCTTCTCTGTGCTGGGGTCCATACCGCCTCCCCTGCTGGTTGCTCGCACCATCCTCCCTTTAACCTGGCCAGGCCATCCATGAGCCCAGCACTCAGAAAGAGAAGAGGGTGGGGTCCGGGAGGCCCGGAGAGGCGTTCTTAGAAGAGGAAGAGGTCTGCGCTGCCAGAAAGGGGGCGCTGCTGCTCCACAGAAGGAGGAGGGAGAGCGGCGGCCGACCCATCCACCCTCCCATCCTGGCCGCCTGCCTGCAGGGTTGGGGAGCTATTAGCGTGGACAGAGGCAGTTTCCGTTGGGACATTTTTTCCTTCCAGCCTCCGCCTACTCATGGTTTTAAACCCAACACCAGTCCTGGGTCATTTCTCTTTCCCGCGCTTACTTTTGGAGGGGAGAAATCTCACTATCTGCCAGGCTGTCCCCAGGGCAGAGCCAGGCGGGCACCCCTCCCAGCCCCGATGCCTGGCTGCCCACCCATGCTTTCACCTGCTCCTGCCCCTCCCCACCTGGATACACTGACCCCACCATGGTTCCAGGGTCGGGCAGAATGGGAGGGGCGGGGGACCAGATTGACTCTAGAATCCATGAGGGATTGGCTGCTATGGGTGCCTGAGAAAGAACCCCATGTCTTACAGAGGCAGCTGTGGGCTTGCTGCCCTGCCTCCTTCTCTATAGGACATTCACCCCACACACGCAGAGGGCCACAGGGCCCCTTCACCACCAGACACCGTCATTCCCAAACCTCTGTGAAGGGTTCCCAGGCAGCTGGCAGCTCTGTTCTCAGACCCAGCCTGGCCCTGGCAGCTGTGCGCACACAGGGGTCTTCTGGGACAATGCCGACTCTTCACTGACCTGGACTTGGGGAGGCAGTGAACACCAGGACGGAGACAACCTGGACAGCCCCAGGAGAGTCATAGAGTCCCTAGGGGAGAAGAGGGGGTAGAAGTATTCTCTCTCTCACTGTCCTCACAGGAAAGACCCCTGACGACGTGCATGAACCAGTATGCAGCAGGGGTTCTCAACTCTGTGGAATATTTACAGCAGAAATAACCAAATGCTTTAGCTCTGGTTACTCCTGGGTAGTGAAACTAGATGTTTTGCTACTTTTGTACATTTGCTATGAGACATCAGTGCCAAGCCCCGACAAGGCAGAAGGCACCTCTGGGTACCACCCTTTGGTGAACACTTCCTTCAACTTTCCACCCTCCTGGGTCGAGGTCCCAAGCCTGCCATAGAGAAGCATGAACTTGGGTGAAATGGGGCATGAGGGCATGAGCTCAAGGTGCTGCCAGACTGAAGAGCATTGGTGTTGGTGTGTCATGCCATCCTTGCCATCACTATCACATCCTCGGTGGAGTGGTCACACCATGACACCAGCTTGCCCAAAGAGTTGCTGGTGCTCTGTTAAACTGTTGCACAAAAACACCTCTGCAGAGCAAGAAAAACACTTTGTCCTCTGCAAATCTGTCCCTGGTGACAGAGGAGCCTGCACTTCTTTCCTCTTGATAGATGATGTATCAGTTACCACCTGCTGCATAACAAGTCAGTCCCGATCTCCATGACTCAACACACACACAGCATTCCCAAGAGACAGGAACAGCACGGGCAGTCAGGGCCTCTGCTACAAGGAAGCTCACTGCTCTTAGCATTTACACAGCATATTCCTGGTTCTGTCTCACACCTGTGAGAACATGAGAGTGGCCATGCTGCAGAGAAAACAGGAGAATGTGCCCAGACCTTAGGTTCCAGATTCTGAAAAGTAGGGTGTGTGTGTGTGTGTGTGTGTGTGTGTGTGTGGTGTGTGAAGGGAGTGGGGGGGCAATGTGTAGTAGAATTAAGTATGACTTTTGAAGTTTTTCTCAAAAGGTTTATTAAATATGGTCATAGATTTTTATGTACATTTTTTGTATGTTTTTAAATTATAAGATATTTAGTCTGGTATTGAGAAAGTGTCAACAGCTCCAGCTCCAGAGGTCTTTGGGATCCTTCCTTGGGGCAGGAGTGGGTCTGGTACCCGTGGAGCTAACAGGGGTTAACCCTCACTCACACTCACACACACACACACACATACCCATACACCGACGCGTGGATGACTTTATTTTCTCCTAGTAAAATTTGAAATATTTGCTGCAAATATGTATTTCACCAAACTGTAAAGAAATATTTACACGAAAAACAACTCGGAAATCCATAAAAGCAATGAATCTGAAACATTCCACAACTGGTGTGGGCATTTGCAGAAAACGTTGGCGGGCAACGGGGCAAACTCGGCCGATCAGTTCCACAGAAAGATGTTTCAATTAAAAACAGCCATAAATGGGCTTTCAGTTGCACATTCTTTTTCAGACATTTTATTTAAACCCAACTACAGTTTTGGTCTACTTAACCCGAGAACTGCATTCACCATGAGCAAATAAATGTCTCTACAACCTGGTGAGAAAGTAGAATTCTTTAGCTGAGTGGCGAGCTTGGGCTCAAACCAGCTGAAGAGCAGAGCAACTGTTCTACAGCTGGTCTGGAGGGCGAAGCCCCCAAATAGGCGAGCTGTGACTCAGGGGCTGCGCCCGCCCTGCAGGCCAGCTCCTCCCCTCCCGCTTGCCCGCCCCTCCGCTCCCTCCTCCCAGCCTGGGTTGTAATTCCGGACAGAGCAGAAGAAATCTCTCCTCTCTCCAGCCTTCACCCACCCTGACCGGCCCTCGTTAATGGTGACAGGCAGACCAGCAACATGAGGTTAGCCCACACGCTGCTGCCCCTGCTGCTGCAGGCCTGCTGGGCCTGGGCACAGGACGACCCTGCGGCCTCAAGGGTCATGGCCTTTCAAGGTAAGTGGGCTTTGGCCTGGCTGGATGCCTGCCCCCTGCTCCTGGGAGCCGTGGGCTCTGATGGCCCGGAGCTGGACTGTCCCCTCCTTTGAGGTGAGAGCTTCAGAGGGGGGCCTTGCAAGGAATTCCCTGTTCTGGGCAGCAGAAGTATCTGACTGTCTCCAGAAAGGCCTCTGGGCTTGAGCCACCTTGAGTGTCCCTTTCTGGGTGGAGGGTGTCAGGCCGGGCAACTCGGGAGAGGCTCCTGGAGGAGTGGAGCTGGCCCTCATTATCTGCTTGAGTTTTCAGTCTCCGTGGAGGCCATTGCAAGCCGAGGACTGTTCCTCCTTGGTCCATCAGGTCCTAGCAGGGCAGCAGGATGGAGCGTACTCCCTGTCCTGTCTCAGGGCACGTTCCCTGTCTCAGGGTGCATTCCCTGTCCTCCCATACCTGACTATAAGACTCAGCTGGTGTGTGAAAGCCACTTGAGAACTTAACAAGGAAACAGCTCATCCCGGGGATCCCTGCCCTTTAGAGGGTGTTTGTGGGAGCCCTTCTGCCCCAGGAAGCAGTCACTCCCGGACACATTTGGGGACCCCTCCCACTTTTAACCCCCATTGTTGGAGGTCAGGACTGCCACTGCTGCCTTCTTGCCTCTCCGGGTGAGGGAGCCCTGTGGGCCCAGCACTGGGCAGGAGGGGTAGACGGGGCCCTCCATGCTCAGCTCCAGGCCTTCTGACCCTGTCTTGGGTTCAGACTGCCCCGTGGACCTGTTCTTTGTGCTGGACACCTCGGAGAGCGTAGCCCTGAGGCTGCAGCCCTATGGGGCCCTAGTGGACAAGGTCAAGGAATTCACCAAGCGCTTCATCAACAACCTGAGGGACAGGTAAGGCACTGGCCTGGCCCTGCTTCCCTCTTGTGTTTCTGTGTGCCTGTGGGGGAGGGGCAGGTGGAGTCTGGCCTCAGCCTCCCCTCTGAGTCTTCTCATGTGCCCTGGGCACCCAGCACCCCCTCGTCCCCATGGCTCATTGCCCAGATTAAGACTGGGATGGAGATGGAATCTCTGAGCAGCACCTGGTTAACTGGGAGGGTGAGCACCAAGATGTAGAGGTCTCAGAACCCCAAACAGACCCGCAGCTCCCTTGAGTAAACTAAGGGGGTCTGGGTGCTAGCCTCAGGCTGTAGTTCTCCCAGGGCCTGGAGGGGCCATTCACTAACTAACTGGATCTCTCCACCCACCCACTCCACTCCTCCCACCACCCATGTGGGTGATCAGAGCCTCTGTGATCCTGGATCAGGCTTGGATCTGGATTTGGGTGTGGCACAAGGGGAGTGGGCCATGGGCATGGCCAAGGGCAGGACCATGAGGGTCACAAAGAACCCACTCCTGGGCAGGCCCACAGCTATGGGGATCAGAGGTGGGGCCTCCCAGGCTCAGCCAGCACAGCCTCCTCCCCACTGTGGCCTGGACTGAGACCCAAGCCTCCTGCCTGCCCACCAAAAAGGTCTATGGGGCCAGAGTGGATCCTCCCACCCCTGGAGCACCCCATGTAGGAGCTTAGGGACCAGGAACCCAAACTTAGCAGGGACAGCCTGGTGTGTGAGGACTGTAGCTGGACAGAGGTACTACAGCAACCACATGGCCTGCCATCAACCCCTGTGCTCAGGCTTCCTGGGCCTCAGTTTCCCCCCTGTGCTATTGGCATACTGCAGTGGTCACCCCATCTGCTGGCTGGACAGGTGGGGCAGTCAAGCAAACCCTGGGAGCCCCCCAGGCCCAGGAGCACCAAAAACAGAGGCGAGGCCCCAGGCCCATCAAGAACGCCCTCTTTCCTGCCCCCCCACACACACACTGCCAACTGCCCTGGTCTGTCCCCCCACAGTTGCTCTTGTGAGGCCGCAAGAGACCCAGGGCACGTCTGGCTGAGGCTGGCCTTGCTGGTCACTCCCCACTAGCCTGCAGGCAGCCACTACCACCTCTGGCCACAGGGAATCCACTGTGGGGCCCTCCTCTCCGGGCGCTGAGGCTGGCAGTCTGTCCATCTGTGGGGGGCCTCCTGTCCTATGGCACAGCGGGGAACACACGTCCCAAGCTGTGCGGGCGTGTGAGACCCCACTCACTCCACCCCACCCCTGCCGCAGGTACTACCGCTGTGACCGCAACCTGGTGTGGAACGCGGGCGCCCTGCACTACAGCGATGAGGTGGAGATCATCCGCGGCCTCACGCGCATGCCCAGCGGCCGCGATGACCTCAAGAGCAGCATAGACGCAGTCAAGTACTTTGGCAAGGGCACCTACACGGACTGCGCCATCAAGAAGGGGCTGGAGGAGCTGCTCATCGGGTGAGCGACCACAGCCGAGCACAGTCCCGTCTCAAGGTCTCCCCACAGGCCCTGCCGCAGACCTCCCTAGCCTGCTGTGTGGCTATAAACCCACCCAGTGCCCTTGCACGTCGTGGGCTGTCCATGCTGGTGACCACGCCCAGCCTGACAGCGCTCCCAGAGACCACTCCCACCTCCATCCCTCCCACTGCTCAGGGCCAAGAGGACCCAGAGAGCTGCCAATCCCTCCCAGTTACACCTCACACTTTGGCCAAACAGGACTCCTGCAGCCAGAGACAGAGACAAAGATAGAAGTCAGGACAAGACACGCACAGAGAGAGACAGAGAGAAACCAAGAAAGAAAGAAAGGGGCCAACTCTGTAGGGTGGTGGTTATGGCGGCTGGATTCCACATGGCCAACTGCAGTTCGAGTGTTTATGGCGGCTGGATCCCACATGGCCAACTGCAGTTCGAGTTCCAGACCCAGTGCCTTGAAAAACACTCTAAGTGATGGGCTCTATGCCCAGAATCGCAAAAGGAGGGAGAGCCGGAGAAATACTGCAGTGTGACCATTCCCCATGGCAGGGGGTGGAGGGTACTTTCACTACCACCCCCGTCTCTCTCTCTCTGGCGAGCACATGTGCCTTCTAGCACACAAAAAAATAATAATAACAATAATTAATTTTAAAAAAGAGAAACACAGAAAGACAGAGACATAGGAACAGATCTACAGAGAGCAAGAGAGACAGAGAGATAGAAAGACACAAAGACACCGAGAAAAAAAAAGTTAGGATTTTTTTTGTTGTTGTTTTTAAGAGATTTTTACTATAGAATGTGGGCACACACCGAAGAGACAGAGAGAGAGAAAGTGAGAAATCACCTCCGTGGGGAGATGGCCGTGCCACAATCTCTTCTCCTTCAATCTCTTGGGATCTTGGGCACACACACGCACACACATGCCCTGCAGTTGTTTTAAGCCGCTGGGTCCAAAACTTGAATTGCTCTCAACTAAGTGGTCATCCAGCAATGTAACCATTATGCCATCTGCTGGTCCCTTTTTGTTGTTGTTGAGAGGTTTTTTTTTTTTTTTTTGAGAGGTTAAAAAAAGCGTGCACTCGCCAGAAAGACAGAGAGACAGAAAGCGAGAAATCACCCCCCAGGGGGGATGGCCATACCACAATCCCTTCTCCTCCATTCTCCTCTCGGGATCTTGGGCACGCACGCACACATGCTCGGTAATGAGTTTAAGCCGCCAGGTCTGGGACTCGAACTGCAGTCGACTACATGGGAATTCAGCGACATAGCCATTACGCTAACTGCTGGTCCTGAGAGATTTTTGCTACAGGGTGCATGCACTTGCCAGAGAGACAGAAAGCCGGAAATCAACCTCCATTTGGGATGGTCTCACCACAATCCCTTCTCCTCCATTTTCCTTTTGGGATTTTGGGTACACACATATGCACCCAGCATGAATTTTAAATCACCAGGTCCAGAACTCGAAGCACAATTAACTATAAGAGAGTCCAGTGACGTAACCATTATGCCATCTGCTGGTCCCAAAATATAGTTTTATTGCAGAGAAGCAGTGCTTATTTCATTCACACTAAATCTCAGCAAAATTAAAATAAAAATAAATGACTATTTCATTTTACTTTTCAAATGGTCTGTGTAGACTGAGGAGTTTCTTCTTAGACGGCCCCATTCTCTCCCTGCAATGGCCCAGGCTAGAGGCCAAGTCTGCAGGAGAACCAGGCCTCCCCACTCCTGTGCTCCCTCCCAAGGTGGCCCCCAGCAACGAGTGCACCAAAGGCCAGGTGGGTGGGCATGAGGTGGCCCTTCCACCACCCAGTGTCTCCCAGCCCTGGCAGAGGCTGCCCAGTAAGGCAGCACCAGGAGCCACCTTTCCTTCTGCTGGTGGTCTTGGAGGAGCACGTCCTGCCTGTGTGAGGAGGGCCCAGCACCTTCCCAAGGCTCCACTTGTTGGGTCCATCTTGCAGCAAAGCTGACGAGGAAGGAGCCGTGGCCTCACCTCTCAGCTCTGGGGTGGGGCTCAGAGCCACACAGGGTCATTCTCCAGTGTCCTGGACCCAAGCATTTATTCAAGGGGTGCTCTCAGCCCCCAGGGCACCTCAGACAGCCCTGCAGCTGTACCCTTGCCCGCTGTGCTGGTCCTGTTCCTGGGGAGCATGCCCACTCTGCATTTCAGGGGGGCTTGCCTTGCACGTCACCCTGTTATTGCCTTATCACCCACATCCTGCGAAAGCCCATGGTGCCCTCAGTTTAATCAGCTACTTGGTGAAAAGGGCCAAGAAGCTCAGTTGAACAACGCCTTCCATGTCGGCATCCTCAGGGCCTTTGGGGTTGTCACACGTGGGTCACATGTGCACATTATCTAAAGTCATATTTAGAGAGATGTGATCCCCTTTGGAAAGACTGCTCTCAGGATGTGGCAACAGAAAGCACCTGCCACAGCTGGGCTGTGTGCTCCCTTGGGTTCAGCCCCTCCCTCTAGTCCGGGCTCTCGCTCCACGGCTCCAAGGCCTCACACCATCTGCTTGCTAGGGGCTCCCACCTGAAGGAGAACAAGTACCTGATTGTGGTCACCGACGGGCACCCCCTGGAGGGCTACAAGGAGCCATGTGGGGGCCTGGAGGACGCAGTGAACGAGGCCAAGCACCTGGGCATCAAGGTCTTCTCTGTGGCTATCACGCCAGACCACCTGGTAAGAGCTCCCCACGCCCCCACATCCCAGAACAGCCCCGAGCACAGAGCCGGGACTCCTGCAAAGGGGACTGGCCATCTCCACCCCTCAGGGCAGGTGGAGCGTCAGTTTCCAGCTCTCCCTCTAGGTGGCCTTTGTTTGTGGACTTGGCAACCCCTTCCACTGAGGACCCCCCCCAACCCCAGTCCTTTGGTCCTGTATGGGGGTCACCAGGGTGCCCAGAAGGAGATGCGAGAGCAGTCCGGGCTCATCCTATCTCATGATACCCCCCAGGAGCAGCGTCTGAGCATCATCGCCTCGGACCACACTTACCGCCGCAACTTCACAGCAGCCGACTGGGGGCAGAGCCTCGACGCGGAGGAGACCATCAGCCAGACCATCGACACCATCATTGACATGATCGTGAGCTCCTCCCAGGGCCGCCATGCTGTGTGGGGAGGCCAGAGGTCCTAGACAGAAAGTAATTCCACTTCCATTTCATTTTCCAGAAAAATAATGTGGAACAAGTGGTAAGCATCCCTCACCATCCACCATCCCCTGCCCCTCCCCCTGCCCCTGCCCAGGCCCTCCCACCCTCCAAGCTCTGCATCGCTGCCTGTCCCAGCATGGTCCAGTGTCTGTGGCAAATCTCAGTGTGTGCACATGTGTCCAGGGTGGGTCCAGGGTGTGTCCCTGGAGTGTCCTGGGCACACCGCCAGCTCTCTGACCTGTCTTCCATTCTCTTCCATTCCCCTGACAGTGCTGTTCCTTCGAGTGCCAGGTGAGTGCCCACTGCCCTGTTCCTGTCCGCTTCCCTGTCCCATGGCCCCTGTCTGGGGGCTGAGCTGACAGCCCCTGCATCCCCTGTGTCTTGCAGCCTGCCAGAGGACCTCCAGGGCCCCCGGGTGACCCTGGCTATGAGGTGAGTAGGCACACTCATGTGCCAGACCCCAAGGTGTTGGGGTCTCCAATGGGACCTGAGCCTGAGCACCACGTGTGCCCTGCACTGGGCCAGACCTGGCGATACTAAGGACCCCTTGCTGAGCAGATGCTCTGGGTCCATGCAGGGCGGTGGGCATGGACTGGCCCCAGGGCCTCTCCTCGGTCCTTTGAGAAGTGAGCATCTCACCTTCTTGCCCTACTCCTGGGGAAGGCCTTCTGGTGGGGGCAGGGCATGAGGGATCCCAGGCCAGGTATGTCACACAGGATGACTTTGAAAATTAAAATTGGTTGCCAATACTCACAATGTGGATGATGGCTCACCAATGTCTGGATTCCTGCTTTCCATCAGCTCTCATCAGCTCCATCAGCCATGGCCCTCAAGTCACATGCATCCAGGAGTGGAGCAGCAGCACTGAGACTCCTGGGTTGGGCCTACTCTGCTGGCCTGGGCCTGCTGCTGGAGCAGCTCTGAGGCTTGTGCCCAGCAGAGGGTGCCTGGCACTCCCAGACCCTGAGACAGACCACGAGTGGTGGGGAACGGAGCTGAAATGAACTTCAAATCAGGGCTCCCTTCACCGCTTTTGGAAAAAAAGCAGGAACAATCCTCTAACATTGTCTGTTGATGTTTCAGGGAGAACGAGGAAAGCCGGGGCTCCCAGGAGAGAAGGGGGAAGCCGGAGACCCTGTGAGTGCCTGGCTATAGGGATGCCTGGGGCTGGGAGGCTGGGCCAGGAGTCTGCCCTCCAGAGCATCTAACTGTCCCCTCTTCTGTTCCAGGGAAGACCTGGGGACCTTGGGCCAATGGGGTACCAGGGGATGAAGGTATGTCTCCCTCTTCTTTTCCTGGGTTCCCTGGGCGGTGCCTCCTGCTTGGCAGTAACCATATCTTCTCTTCCCATCTGTGCGGAGTGTAGGGAGAAAAAGGGAGCCGCGGAGAGAAGGTGAGTGAAGCCAACCTCGGAATTCACTTGCCCTGAGGTCAGCAGGGCTAGGGGTCCTACCAGAGGTCATGGAGACATGGCACAAACCAGGCCTGTTCCCTGCTCCTGTCCCGGTTCCTGCAACTCTGCAGTCACTCAGGGAGCCCTGCCATTGGGCTGACAGGCTGCTGTGGGCCTCAGCCAGGCTTTGCCACCCTGACTCCTCGCCCTGGTCTACACAGCAGAGCTAAGAGGGTGAGGACTGCTGCTGGGCCCAGGCAAGGGCACCCCTCACCCCCCCTTTCTGTCTCCATAGGGCTCCAGAGGACCCAAGGGTTACAAGGTGAGTGTGTGCCGTCAGGGGTGAGGGAGTTCTGCCTCGGCCGCACTGTCTGACCTGGGCCTGGGGCATTCTTTTGTCTTCGCATCTCGCAGGGCGAGAAGGGCAAGCGTGGCATCGACGGTGTAGACGGCATGAAGGTACCCAGAGGGCAGGAGGGCTGGGGGCTGGAACAAGGGGGGAGAAGGGGAGATTTTTGTGGGTGGAAGGGCAAAGCAGGCAACTCTGGGCAGTGTGAAGTCAGGAGACATTTTCTGTGGGTATTTCCTGCCAAACTCCAGTCCCAGTGGGTCCCAAGCCACCCAGTTAGGCTCAGAGCATCTGCCAGGGCTCACCCTGGGAGGCCATGGGTGAGCCAGGACCCAAAGATCTGACAGCTGACGGCTTCGGTGGCCTGCCTGACTATCCTGACCATGTCCTTTCTTCCTCCTTCCAGGGAGAAGCAGGGTACCCAGGCCTGCCTGGCTGCAAGGGCTCACCTGGAGCTGATGTGAGTCACTCTTCTCACTGCTATCTTAAGACTGAGTTTTCAGGACAGTAACTCAGCCCAAGTCCTGCCTGTAACACCCTAAGTCTCCACCGCTGCCCATGTACAAGCTGTTCAGCTGCCATCTGAGGGCCGCTGTGCAAGGCTCGTGGTTGCCTCTGCCATCTCCGATGGTCTCCTCCATCTCCTCTCCAGGGCATTCAAGGACCCCCTGGCCCTAAAGGAGATCCTGGCGCCTTCGGACTGAAAGGAGAGAAGGTGAGACCGTGGTCCTTAACTAGTCACCCTCGGTGAGGAGGTTGATAGCCATGTGGTGGGCAGGGAAAGGGCAGCATGGAAGGCCCAATGACAAAGGGCAGTGTGCATGGCCATCCCGGTCTCTGTGCTCATGTGGAAATCAAAACACGAGAATAAACAGCGGTGCTGGGGGCGGGAGTGGTAGTCGCATGCGCAGGAGTGATGGTTCACAAGTCTGATTTAAAGCTGAGTTTTCTGTAGCTGGTGTCTTGGGGGGTTCTTACGGACATAGGAAGTGCAGGAAAGGTGGAGTTCCAATTGCACCCCAAGTGTGGTCCAAGGAGGATTTTCCGGAATCAGCAAAGGTTTCAAATCTCAACTTTAAGTTCATGATGAGCTGCAAAGCCCTGGATTCCAGCCACCATCTCATCCTGCAAAACCAAGCCTCACTGATGGGAATGGGCAGTCATCGCTCGGGTTGAGTGGCATCTGGCTAGATCCAGGGTCACCAGGTGGAAATGTCAAGGCAGTTGTGTGCTAGGCTGCAGATGGATTGAGGCAGCTTGGAGGCTCACATGGTGCTGGTCAGGGACGGTGGCATGGGGCTCCTGTTCTGGAGGGAGCCTCTGTGACCTTCTAATCTTCCTCAGGGAGAACCTGGAGCCAATGGAGAGGCTGGGAGGCCAGGGAACACAGGCCCCCCTGGAGATGAGGTGAGGATGCACACAGCCCCTGGGGGCAGAGCAGGGGCCCAGGCCCTGTGCAGGGTCAAGGACATGGACAGACGATTCTACCCCTGTCCCTCAGGGTGAACCTGGAGAGCCTGGACCCCCAGGAGAGAAGGGAGAAGCTGGCGATGAGGTGAGCCCCACAGGTCTCTGCCCCTCCTGAGCTGAGTGCAGGTCTGCAGGTCTGTACACAAACTCATACCTGTGTTCTTCTTCATCCCAGGGGAACGCAGGGCCGGACGGTGCCCCCGGAGAAAGGGTGAGTGGGGCAGTGGTGCCCTCCCCATGTGCCCAGATGCTGATCTGACCCAAGCTGGTCCTGGTGACTCTGACAGACCTGGGCTCTTCCCTGAGCCATGTAGGTGCCTCACCCGCAGTTCCAAGAGGTGGAAGAAAGCCAAACTGTGCCTCCTGAGGGTGTCTTTCAGCCACGCTTGGGGTCTTCCTGAGGTCCCTGGAGCAAGTGGGACCTGAGGAACAAGGAGACTCCAGTCCTGGGTGTCCTGCGGGGGTCAGGATGGTCCCCCTTTTCACCATGGGGCGTGAATCCCAGCGGGCAGTAGCTTGACCTCTCCACCCTCTCCATTCAGGGCGGGTCTGGAGAGCAAGGACAGCGGGGAACCCCTGGCGTGCGGGGCCCAAGAGGAGACCCGGTGAGTCCTCTTCCCAGGTAGGAGTGGGCAGACTCTAGGCCAAGGCCCAGGCCATCAGAATCACAGGACACACACGTAGTGTCCCTTAGTCCTGGACTTTGACTGACCCCTTCCCTCACCTCCTGTTTTCCCAAGACCCTCTAGGTTGCCTGGGTCCCCAGTCAAGCCAGGGGGGCTGAGAGCCTGAGGGAGGTGGCCCTGGGCCAGGTGAGAGGAGCAAAGGTCAATGCAGAGGGAGGGAATGAACTCTGTCTCCCCTCTCCTCACTGAGGACCTGCCCTATATGGGGGAGGCACCAGCCAGAACTGTCTGGTGTCCTTTACGACCCCTCGGACTGTGCCCTGCATGGACAGCAGTTTCCACAGAAGCCTCCTTTTCCCCCCTTCCCTTCCCATTTCCCACCTGCCCTTCCCATTTTCCTCTGTCCTTCCTGTGTCCCCGGCCCTTTGGCCTTTCCTACCTACCTGTCCCTTCCCCTTTCCCACCTGGCCCTCCCGTTCCCCTGCGCTTCTTCCTTCCTCTGCTCTTCCTGTTCCCGTTCCCTTTCCCACCCCTCCCTTTCTGTTTCTCATTAACCTTTCCTGATTGCCCATCCCTTCCTGCTTCTGCTTCTTCCTCTTGCCTCCCTGTCCCTGCCCATGTCCTGCCTGTCCCTCTCGTTGTCCACCTGTCCCTTCCACACAGGCTCCCTTGAGCTGCAGGGTGGCCTGTGTGACGCAGCTTACTGGACTGGTGTCCTGGCCATCGTGTACTCAGGCTCCTCTAAATGCCTGCGGCTCTCCCAACAACCCCATACGCGCTTTCGCGGACAGAGCTAGGGTTCCTCATTGGGAAAGTTCTTCACTTTAAAATTTGAAGTGTGTGGACCAGCAAGGGTGGTTGGTTGGGCTGTCTGGGCTGTGAGAACCACACAGCAGATGCTGCAGCTCTGGGCTTCTGAAGCCTAAGAACCAGGGTGCGTGGACTTGCCCCATTATGAACCTCATCGATAAAAAAGGAAGCGCATGCAAAAACAGGCTCCAGGGCCACAGGAGGAGCTGCTGCCTTCTCATCATGGCCACTTGAAAATGGCCAGTCATTCAATGGCCATGCTTGGGGCCATCATCCTAGTCAAAATATGGCCAGGCTGGAAGAGGGAAGAGTGGGTACTCCTCTTGGTTCTGAGCCCCCCATACCCAGCACCCTCACTCACTGACTGCCTTACCTCTGGCTCCCCTGGACAGCTGCTCCCTGAGGAGCTTGGAGCCTGACCTTTGTACTCACCAGCTTGTTTCTTCCCAGGGTGAAGCTGGACCACAGGGTGACCAGGGAAGAGAAGGCCCCGTTGGCATTCCT